GGGGAAGCAGGGTCGTTGTTCCCCAGCCCCTCCGCGAAAGGGTCCTCACAGCCCTACACGAGACACATCCAGGGGTAGTAAGAATGAAGGCCCTTGCCAGGAGTTATGTGTGGTGGCCGGGGATCGATGGAGAGATAGAGGCCTGGGTCAAACACTGCCAGGCCTGCCAAGAATCCCGCCCAGATCCCCCAAGGGCCCTAGTCCAGTCCTGGGAGTCCGCCCGAGCACCATGGTCACGCTTGCATGTGGACTTCGCTGGCCCCTTTCAGGGGAAAACATTCTTCATAGTGGTGGACTCCTACACCAAATGGCTGGAAGTCGCACTGGTACCGTCCACTTCCACGTCCGCAGCCATCCGGGTACTACGCAGGCTGTTTGCAACCCACGGGCTCCCTGACACTCTCGTCTCAGACAACGGGACTGCATTTACATCAGGAGAATTCCAAACCTTCACAGCGCAGAACGTCATCCGCCACATCCGTTCGGCGCCGTTCCACCCTGCCACCAATGGCCAAGCAGAACGCATGGTGCGGACCACCAAGGACACCCTTCGCCGCATGACGCAAGGGGATTGGGAGTACCGCCTTGCCACATTCCTTCTAGCACAGCACAGCACCCCCAGCTCAACGACGGGCCGGAGCCCCGCTGAACTACTAATGGGTCGGCGCCTTGCAATCAGATTGGACCGCCTTCACCCCGATAGAGCTCAGGATGAGGTAGTGGTGGGGGAAGGCAGGAGCCCCCGGACCTTCGAGGCCCAGGACCCAGTGTACGCAAAGAATTTTGGGGCAGGCCCAGCATGGGTACCCGCCACAGTCACCAGGGTCACTGGCCCCGTGTCGTACGAGGTGCTAACGGATGGGGGGCAATGCTGGCACCGCCACTGCGACCAGATACGGCGACGATTCCCGGGAGAAACCCAGGAGGAGGACAGGTCAGAGGAGTCCCAAGGGAACAGTGGGGCAGTGAGGCCCATAGAGCACGAGGGGCCAGCAGGAGAGGCAGAATCAGTAAATACAGAGAGGACCCGTGAGGCCGAAAGGACACCGGAGCCAGAACCACGACTGAGCGAGCCGGTTGCACCAGACCAAACAGCCCCATCACAGCCAGCATCCTTGGAACACGAGCCAGAACCTGAACCCCGGACCAGGGAACACCCCAGGCCGCAACGCACACGTAGGCCGCCGGCGTACCTCAAGGACTATGAATGCGACCTCCCGGGCAGGACTGGAACTTAGAGGGGAGGGGTGTTATGTACTGAGTTGAATAGGATCCAAACTGCAGCAGTCTGATTGGTCCTAGAACAATAGGATCCAAAAGGCAGCAGTCTGATTGGTCCTAGAACAATAGGATTCAGAATGTAGCAGTCTGATTGGTCCTAGAACAATGCAGCAGTATGATTGGTTGGCAGGAACTACCCAATTATGCTCCAGATAGAAGTGAATCCACAACCTGATTGGCTTACAGTAGAATTCCGGAATTAGCCAATCATGTGCAGCCCATTGTGTAAATAATGTATATAAAGCAGATACTTTGAGGGGACTTTCATTCATTCCTCCTCACCACTATGAGCTGAATAAAGAGCATGAAATCACTTTGCGACTCTGAGTATATTTCAGGGGCTTTTGGCATTTCCCAGACATTGTGGCGTAATTCTGGCATAATTCCTCTGAACCAGAGACCAAAATTTAGGCCCAGCCAGCTCCCTTCCACTGTCCTTCTTATCGTACTGGGGGCAGGGGGCCCTCCCAGCTGAATTTCCCCCTCTCTTCTGTTCAGTTGTTCCTTTCATTTGCAAAAGGACTCCATAAAAGCAAAACCCCATCAGAGGAAGGGAGGAGAGGGAGGTGACCAAGAGGAGGAGGACACCAGGATTTCCCCCTGCCCTAAAACAGGACCTTCTAGCACCAACTGCCCCAGGGTGCTGACCCCTTGCTGACCCCTTGCTCTAGATACAGTTATTAAGATTTCATGGAGACCTCTTTGCTGTTTGAAGCCACCTGGGAAAGATCTGTATCCCGAAAAGTGCCGGATTTACATATAAGCTAAACAAGACACAGTGGTACCTCTGGTTACAAACTTTATTCATTCTGGAGGTCCGTTCTTAAGCTAAAACAGTGATTTCCATTTGCATCCTGGGGCAAAGTTCACAACCAAGAGCAGCTACTTCCGGGTTAGCGGAGCTCATAACCTGAAGCATTCATAACCAGAAGTGTTTGTAACGAGAGGTACCACTGTATAGCTTTGCCCCCCACTCTGGGGGGGGGCAAAAAAAATTAAAGGGAAAAAAACCTGATATACATTTCCAAAATATTAGATAAAAACAAATAAAATAAAACATGCATACAGCAACAGTGTTTGGTGCTGCGTAGGCTCCCATTTATTATGTGCAAATAGCTTAGGGCCATAAATGACCATCTAGCATATATTCAACACCAAAAACAGAGACAATTTGTTGTTGACAAAGGACAGCTGGACATAGAAGGGACCCCATTACCTTCAGGAGCTGAGGGCCTCATAAAATCTAAATCTGGCCCTGATCCCAAAATGTGAAATGTAAACAATCGAAACATCTAAGCCAGGTGCCCTAATGGGAAGACTGGAAGCAAGACTTTCCCATTACAGCCAGTCAGCCCCCCCCCCCCCCCGTGGATCATGGCAGCTGGCCTTCAGAAGAATTGCTGCCTCCAAGGACCCTGGAGCCAAAGCTGAGCCATCCTGGCTAGGAGTCATTGATAGCCTTCTCTTCCTCCCTGAATTTGTCCCACCCCAGTGGGCTGCCATCCCTGCATCCTGTGGCAGTGAGTTCTGCAGTTTATCTTCCTTTTCCTCAGCCCTGTTGGCATCCAGCTCCAACGTCCGACTCCACTGCCTTCTGCGGTTTTGAGAGAGGGACAGCAATGGTCCTCCCCACTTTCTCCAGGCCACAAGGCAGCATTGTATGCTTGTGAAACATGGACCACTTATAAAGCCCACCTCCAACTCCTCAAAAAATTCCATCAATGGGGTCTCCGAAAAATTCTACACATCACTTGGGAAGACGGGCGAACTAATATCCGTGTACTGGAAGAAGCAAAGATCACCAGTGTTGAAGCAATGATTCTTCAACATCAACTTTGCTGGACTGGTCATGTTGTGCAGATGCCTGATGATCGTCTTCCAAAGCAACTCCTCTATTCCGAACTTAAGAATGGAAAGCGTAATGCTGGTGTTCAACAAAAGAGGTTCAAAGACTCTCTCAAGGCAAATCTTTAAAAATGTAGGTTAAACACCAACAATTGGGAAACACCGGCCTGCGAGCGCTCCAGTTGGAGAACAGCCTTGACCAAAGGTGTCCTGGGCTTTGAAGACACTCGAACTCAGGACGCAAGGGAGAAACGTGCAAAGATGAAGGCAGGCTTGGCAAATCCACACCGTGATCAACTCCTGCATGGAAATCCCACTGTGGAAGGACGTGTGAATCCAGAATTGGCTCCACAGTCACTTACGGACTCACTCGTAAAACTGTGTTCATGGAAGACAATCTTACTTGGCCAGGAGGAATCGCCAAAGAAGGAGAAGAAAAATCAGACTCTCCATAGCCAGACGGGAAACCCACCTCCAAAGTGGAATATGACCCAGGCTGAACAAATAAACCGACAACCAGCATATAAATGAGGTCTGCCATATTTCCGGAATTTCCCGGGCAGTGGCTCCACGGAGACGCCATAGTCCAGTGGCATCCAGACTTTTTCCAAAGAGGGCCAGATTGGATGAAGTGAAGGGCCGTGAGGGCTGACCAAAGGGCCAAGCCAAGTTGTTGAGCTTTTTGTAGGATTGAAGTTGTTGAGGATTTTACCCCAGGAAATAAACTGCCACAGGGGCCGGATTAAACCGACCGGCGGGCCGGATTAGACCCCAGAAAGGAACTTTGGACATGCCTGCCAGTCTCTTGCGGACTGACTGTTAAGACCCTGTTCATTTTTTAAAAAAAAGATATTTATTAAGATTTTCAAAATATTACAAAATGAAAAAATAAAAAATAAAAATACAAAATAAAAATAGTTAAAAACAATTCCATCTTTCCATTACTTATCTTTCATTTGCTTGTTTCCCGGACCTCCTCACACCTCCCTTTTTTGTATTCCAGTTCAATTTGTTAGTTCAGCAAATCCTTTCCCTCTTTGTTTATCCTCGTCTTTAATCTTAAAGTATTATAACATTAAATTTTTACCTGTTAATAATCCATTTTTTCATATTCCTTATAGCGTTATAGCTAAAAACCACTTAACTTTTTATCCAACATCATTCTAACATTCATTAATTTTACAGTATTTCTGTAAATAGTCTTTAAATTTCTTCCAATCTTCTTCCACCGACTCTTCTCCCTGGTCTCGGATTCTGCCGGTCATTTCCGCCAGTTTTTCCGCAATTTTTCTTTCCTCCCCAAATACCTTTTTCAGTTCATTATAAATCATCTCCCAGAAAGCCTTAATCCTTGGGCATGTCCACCAAAGGTGAAAGAATGTACCTTCAATTTCTTTACACTTCCAACATTTATTATCGGGCAAGTGATAGATTTTCTTCATACAGAAGGTTAAGACCCTGTTCAGGGAGGACAACCTTACTCGGCTAAGGGAAGAAGAAGAAGAAGAAGAAGAAGAAGAAGAAGAAGAAGAAGAAGAAGAAGAAGAAGAAGAAGAAGAAGTTGTTGTTGTTGTTGTTATCCGCTGCCCCCCCCCTGCGCCCCCTTGCCGTTGTCTCCCCTCCGCCCGCGGGAGCGCGCCGGCCCCACCGCCGGGATCCCGGAGTGCTGCTTGGGGGGGGGGCGCCTTCTTCCGGCGGGGCACTCCCCCCCCCACCAACAGGACCCGATGGCGCCGGACACGGGCCGGCAGCAGCAGCCGGAGGGGCGCGGCCTCGCCAGGTGCAGGTGCGCCGAGGGGCGTGGCCGGCTCCCTCCCCCTTGTGACGTCGGGGGCGGCGATTGGCGCCTTGGCCCGGGGGGCGGGGCTCACCTGCGGGGTCCGGGGGCGGCGGGCGCGACGCGCGCAGTTGGGGCTTCGCAGGCGGGCAGGATGGGGCGCAGCGCGGGGATGATCCTGATGGCCGCGATGGTGCTGGGCGCCGCCGCCGAGGCGCTGCCAGGTGAGGGGGGGAGGGAGGGGGTGCGGGAATCACATAAATAAATGGGGGGGGTCCTCTTTCTTCTCTCTCTCTCTCTCTCTCTCCCCCCTCCCGATGTGTTTTTTTTTGGGGGGGGCGCAGTCAACTGCCGGCTTCCCTTCCCCCCAGGAAGGGGGCGGGGCTTCTCTTCGGTCCCCTCCCCCCCCGCGAGGGACAATGGCTGCCCGATCCCTTGTCTTTTTGGGGTGGGGGGTCCCACCCCTGGCCGGCCCCCCACTCCGCCCTGCTCCTCCTATGGCTCCATGGGGCCCGCGCGGGGCCTGGGAGGGGGTGGCCCCATTGGGGTGGGGAGCCCCGCGGGGGGAGGGAGAGATAAGTCGGGGCGCGGCTTCCCGGCGGCGCAGGTGGGCAGCTTCCCCTCCCCCCCCGAGGAGGAGGAGGAGGAGGAAGCGCTCTCTCTGCCCAGGTGTCTTTGCCAAGCCCCCCCCCCCCCGCGTGTGCCCCTTGTTCCTGGTTCAGTCCCTCGGTGCCAGGTGCGGATTCTGCCTGAGGCTTCTAGCCCTGGACAGGGGCCGGCCCCATAGACATAGAGGGCTGGCTGGGGGGGGGTCTGTGCCAGGGGACTGAGCTGCCCCCTCGCCCTGGCCTGCTGCCCAGATCGTGTCTGCTCTTAAAGTCGAGGAAGTTGCCTGTTTACAATCATCATCATAATTTATTATAGATACATCTGGCTGGGTTTGCCCCTCGTGGAGGGAGGAGTTGGGTCCCGAGCGTGGGAGCAAAAGCCGGATTGGCAGAGGCAGTGATGGCACAATGGGCCCAGTGTTGTGCCCCCTGGCACTCTTGCCACTTGGGGCAGGACTCCTGTCTGCCTGCAGAACTCCTGGCTGGTTGGTTTTATTTCCGGAAAGCCCTTTCCTTGGTGCCACCCCAGGATGGGGTTTTGAGGCTGCGCTGCCTGGACCCAAGGGGGCAAGATCACAGAGCTGGAGAGTTGCAGGGGACGCCAGAGGTCATCCAGTCCCACCCCCCGCCTCGTCCAGAGAGCTCTTTGTTTTCTTAGCAAGGAGAGAGTGCACCTGGGAGCCCAGAAACCTCCCTGCCCTGCTTCCTGGGACAAAGAAAACAGCCTTTCTGGGTCAGGCTCCCAGGCTGCCGCCTCCGCCTCCTGAGCTGGCCTGACCGGGTGCAAAGGGAACCTGATCCGCAGGGCTGGGCAGCCAGTCTCAAACTGGTTCAGCCTGTTTGGGGTGAGGTCATCGGAGCCGCTCTCCCTGAATCACCAGGCGGGGGGGGGGCCTGTCTGGCTCCCCCCTTTGCTCTCTGCCCCATGGAGGCCAGACTTCCTGGTGGGGAGGGGGCATCCTTCCTTTTTTATTATTATTATATTTATTAAGCTTGCATTTTATTACATTTAAACAAATCCTTATTGTGCTCATTACATATTTGCTCAATCGAGCTTCGACTCCCCCCCCCCATATGGTTGCCATAATTCATTAGCATTTATACATTTTCCCATTTACGTTTCACTTAATCACAAATTTTTAAATAAATATAAAAAGGTCCAAATCCTTAACGTTGCAAGTTTTTCTTGCAGCAACCCTGCTAGTGGGGTATTGGTTATTCCTTGCTCACCTTCCTTAAACCTGCAAAAGAGCAGAACAGGACTACCCCGCTTCTTTTAATTAAAAAATAAAATAAAATCCACATTTTTTGTATTATTTTTTTAAAAAACAAATCCACAATAAAAAAGGAAAAACTTAACATATCCATATATAAGATTCTCTGAATCTTGTGAATTACCCCCTGCATCTCATTACATTCTCCACATTTTTCATTCTCTAAATTGTCCGTATTAGGGTTTTTTTTATCATCCAGCTAGCGTTTTTATTTGATTACAATGGTCTCCTAAGTAAACTATAATTTGCCCCATTTTTTTTTTAAAGTCCTTATCTTCTTGATTCTTGAGTCTCCCGGTCAGTTTTGCCATTTCAGCATAGTTTGGTTTTTAAAAAAATCAAATTCTTTCAACATAGAACAGCACCACACTGCACAAATAAATCCTGGAACATCCCATCCTAACCCAGAAGGTGATTCTAAGGCAATACATGCAAATTAGCAACCGAACGATGCAAATTCTTCTCCCCGAACTAATGTTTGTACAGAAGGCGAAAAACAATTTTAAGTTAGCCGAAAAGGTTTTCTGCTGTGAAGGGTGTCCTCTGGTTTCCATTTCTTGGTCTTGCCACTTGCATCACGAAACTGTGAGATTCAGTCACAGAAGAGTCTTTGTGCTTCAGGCCTTGGGCCAATTGCATTTTATGATCTGATTTTTCCACAAGTGCTTTTTTATGGCCAGGCTTTGTTGGGCCAGTTTGCCAGAGAACTTGAGCTGCTCTTCTTTTCATCCGTAAGCCGCCTTGAGTTCCTGTCGGGGGAAATGGCGGACTACAAATAAATATGTCAATAATAATCCTAAGAGACGCCCCCTAAATTCTTCCAGCATCTCCTAAGAAGAGGACTGATTAAAGTTTTAAGCTGTTAAATTAATATTGTCTCCTTGGACATCGAGAGACATTTTGCCCAGTAATTGCTTTTATTCGGATTCTTTCTCTCCTCCTACATCCTCTTCCTTTAGGACAGACATGTCCAGCTCCCAAGAGACTGCGACCTGCTCCCAGTATAAAAAAAAAAAACTGGCAGTGACCTATCCATTGTCCTTGCAAAGTGTTGTTGAGCTTTTGATGGGGAGGGGGATGCAAAAAATTGCTCACAACAGTCCGCCGCCCTCCCCCTCGCCCCCAATTCTGCGATGGGGGAGGACATTCTTTTTTAAATTCTTTTAAATTTTTTATTTTCAATGCAAAATTACAACAAAAATTACAAACATTGAATCCGAAATAAAACAGTACAAACAAGAAAAAAACCAGAACAAAAAAGAAAAAAGAACAAAAAAACAAACAAAACACATCTAGAAATAAAACCATATCATCATTCTAATCTGGTCATTACATACATATATGGTGAGGACATTCATTGTCCACTTGATTTAATCCCGAGATCAGTCAGGATCTACCTGTCGATGGTTGAACATGTCTTCTCTCAGAGGGTAACCCAACTGAGCTGAGCCCCTGGGACAGCTGCCCGGCGTGTAGAAGGGAGAATCTCCCAGATGTGGCCTCTGTGCAGAAGGACACCCCCCCAGACTGCTTCGCATGGAGGAATAGACTCCCCTTGCCCCCCCCCGGGGCAGGCTGGGGTCCCACGTAGTCGAAGGCGACCCTCCTCCGGTCCTCCTTTCCCAGCAGGAGGGCGGCTGTGCCTCTGCCCATGTGAAGAGTTCTGCCAGTGGTTGGGGAAAGTGCTCTTGAGGTTGCTGCTGCTGCTGCTGCTTTGCCACAAAGGGAGGAGGAGAGTTTTGCCTGGAGCGTCCTCCTGGGGGCCGGGCTAAGGGAAGGCAGCCTGCGTATGCTCAGAGGCACACTTTCCCTCTCCTTGTGCCGCACCATCCCAAGCAAAGCCTTGAACTCTGGCTCGCCCTTCTTTCATTATTGAGCTTTTATCTTTTAATAGCTAGGAATGTTATAAAAGCAAACAGACTGTGAGCCTGAGAAGAGATGAACTCCAAAGGGCCGCCCAGGTCCATATTTAGATCTGCATTTAACTCCCAAGTTAGAGAGAAACAGAAAACTCCAGTAGCACAAACAGGAAGCAGATACTCTCTGGGTAGCTGTGCAAACCTGGCTTATCTGTGGGAGAAGCAAATGCGAATTGTCTGCCCCAAAATGTAGTTGACTCCTGTTTAAAAACAGCACCTTTCCTGTGGAGGCCGTGGCTTTGGTTCACAGAGGGCTCCAGAAATGGGTGCCAGTTGGCCGATTGTGTTGGCTGTTGGGTGTCAGTTGGAGATGGGCAGTTGGAGCAGTCGGGGAAAGAGGGAGAGAGCAATATCTATCTATCTATCTATCTATCTATCTATCTATCTATCTATCTATCCAGTGCCGGATTTATATATAAGCTAAACAAGCTGAAGCTTAGGGCCCCACTCAGTTGGGGGCCAGAAAAATTTAGAGGGAACCCCCCCCCTGGATGTACATTTCCAAAATATAGGATAAAAAAACCAAATAAGATTAAACCTACATACAGCAGCAGTGATTTGTGTTGTGGGCTCCTATTTGTTATGTGCAAATGGCTTTAGATACCTCTTAGGTCCATAAATGACCCTATAGCATATATTCAACACCAAAAAACAGTGACAATTTGTTGTCGACAAGGGGCAGCTGGACATAGAAAGCACCCCATTACCTTCAGGAGCTGATGGCCTCATCAAACCTCAATCTGGCCCTGGGTTCGAGTGCTGGAGCAGGACCTGGGAGACCAGGATTCGAATCCCCGCTTCAGCCAGGAAGCTCACTGGGTTCAGCTTTATTTCTCCCCCAAATGGGGAAGGGCCTGAAATTTTTGGGAGCGGCTGCTATCAGATTCCTTGTAGCGACTCACTGGTTAAATCTATCATCTATCTATCTATCTATCTATCTATCTATCTATCTATCTATCTATCTGGATTAGCAAAAAGCCTTATATTCATTAAGTAGATTCCGTCAGGAAAAGAACAGAGTCTTGTGTCGCCTTTGAGACTGATGGATTTATCATGCTGTGACCCCCCCCTTTGGGGCGCCAGGTCCCATGCTCCTTTTCCCTTCACCCCTCTAGGTGGGGCAGGGAGCCCCCCCTCTGCCTGAAACCCAGAGAGCCACTGCTGCCAGTCAGTGCAGGGAGCAAGGCGCACCAATGGTCTGACTCTGCGGGAGGCAGCTTCTGGTGTGGGTCGGGCTTCCACTTCCCCACAAAAGAGACCCAGGAAAAGCAGCTTCTCTCGCACGGCTGCGCCGCCAGCTGTGCCATCATCCTGCAGCTTTGACTTTGTGACTTCGCCATCCGGGGGGGGGGGGGAGAGTGTTTTCGGCCCGTGGTGGCAAACACCACAAATTCTCTGGTGGCCCTTTGGGCGGCAGAGCGGAGTTAATTGAAATCCCCGACTGCCTGTGAATGTCAGGCTCTGGCGTCTCGCTCGATGCGATGGAGACATCCTCTCCCCTGCTCAGGAGCAGCTGCCAGCAGAGTCTGCATCTCTGGGCCTGGAGCTGTCCCCTTCCCTAGCGAAGAGGGTGCAGCTGCTTTGGAGCGCCCCCTGCCTGTGGGGTGCGCATCCTGCCTCCTCTCCCTGGTGCCTCGTTTTGCTGCCGCGGGGTTGGAGTCGAGCCAAGTTCCTGGGCTGAGGAAGGAGGAAGTTTTTTCTCCTTTCAAGGGCAGGTCGGACAAAGCAGGTTGCAGGCAACTTGCAGCGAAGAACACAAAAATTAAAAATTGCGCCAACAAATAAGACACTGCAGTGAATCGCTACGAGAAATATGATAGCAGCCGCTCCCAAAACTTTCAGGCCCTTCCCCATTTTGGGGGGAAATAAAGCCGAACCCAGTGAGCTTCCTGGCTGAAGCGGGGATTCGAATCCTGCTCTCTCCGGTCCTGCTCCATCACCCTCAGCCTCCCCCCTCCCCTCCTTCCCCCTGCCCCTCTGGGTGTGCCCCCTCCTTGTCGCAATAGCCACTGAGCCTGCTGGCCCCTCTGCTTCCTTCCAGACGACTGCTACCTGCCCAAGGTGGTGGGACGCTGCCGGGCAGCCTTCCCCCGCTGGTGGTTCAACGCCTCCAGCCAGGCCTGCCAGGAGTTCATCTACGGCGGCTGCCGGGGAAACGCCAACAATTTTGTCTCGGCCGACAAGTGTCGCCAGATCTGCGCTGCAGGTGAGTGGGGTGGGGGTGGGGTTCTGGTGCAGGTGAATCGCCTGACTTTACAGAATTGCATTGGTTTTTTTAAAATAATATTATTTATTAAGTTTTACATGACATTTAAATTCAAACACACCCGTCACCTCCTCTCCCTTGACTTCCCTCTGCCCTTCCATGGTTACCATTATCAACCCAATTTTCCATCTGCTTCTCTTATTTGCTCTAGGAATATTATCCATTTTTCCATTTTTATTTTTTTTGGTATATTACAAGCATTACTCTAACCCTGCCAAAGTTTTTACTTGTTTACAACTAAAATTAATTGTATTAATTGTATTAATTGTTATATGTGTATATATAATTAGATTTCTTACCCACTGTCCACCAAAAGATCCCAGGGCAGGTTGCAACAATATACAAATGAAAACAGCAGCAAATCATGAAACAAGGATATTAAAAATCAGTTTGCAACAATATTAGGAAAATTTCCACTCTACACTATCTATGTATCAGATGGCCCCCAATTTTCAACATTATTTTATCAGAAAAAATCCTAGTCTTATACACGGAAAAGTACAGTAAATAAATACAACCACAACAACCACGATGATTTGCAAGCCCCCAGCTGGACTGGAGGTCCCATGAGAGATCCCCGTTCAGGCAAGACCCAAATGAAATGGAGGACCTTTCTTCCAAAGTCTGCCAAGCGCCTCTGGTGAGGTCGACTTTCTGGCTTTATAATAATAATGATAATAATTAATAAATAATAAATAATAATTTCTACCCCACCCTTCTGGCTAGGTTTACCCAGCCACTCTGGGTGGCTCCCAACAGAATATTAAAAATACAATAAAACATCACACATTAAAAACAGGGCTGCCTGCAGATGTCTTCTAAAAGTCAGATAGTTGCCTATCTCCTTGACATCTGAAGGGAGGGCGTTCCACAGGGTGGGCGCCACCACCGAGAAGGCCCTCTGCCTGGTTCCCTGCAACCTCACTTCTTGAAGGGAGGGAACTGCCAGACGGCCCTCGGAGCCGGAGCCCGGTGTCCTTCAGCCTCTCCTGCTTTTCACACATTGGGAGGAGAGCAGACTCGACGTCTCCCCCTTGCCAACCCCAGGAGCTTGAGAAGATGACCTTCCCCTTTGCTGAAGAGCTGCTGTGTCCTGGAGGTCTCCCCCCGGGCTCAGGCCCACCTTGGGGGGTCTTGGCTGCGGCCGCCTGACACTCTCTCTCTCGGCTTTCAGATGGCGGCCAGGGGGGCACAGAGGGAGAAGCAGCGGCACCCACCAGCAAGGGTAAGGAGATGGGTGAGAAGGTCGGGGGGGGGAGCTCTGTGCCTGGCCCCTCCTTGCACAGGGAGACTCATGGCCCCCTGCCCCACAAGGATGGGTGGCCTTCCTCATATGGGGGTCCAGGAGTTTTCCGAAGGGTCCAGTGTGGGGTCTGAACTCTGGAGGAAGGGAAAGGAGATTGTCAGCCGCTTTGAGACTCCTTAAGGGGAGGGGCGTGGGTGGCGCTGTGGGTTAAACCACAGAGCCTAGGGCTTGCTGATCAGAAGGTCGGCGGTTCGAATCCCTGCGACGGGGTGAGCTCCCGTTGCTCAGTCCCTGCTCCTGCCAACCTAGCAGTTCAAAAGCACGTCAAAGTGCAAGTAGATAAATAGGTACCACTCCGGCGGGAAGATAAACGGCATTTCCGTGCGCTGCTCTGGTTCGCCAGAAGCGGCTTAGTCATGCTGGCCACATGACCCGGAAGATGTACGCCAGCTCCCTCGGCCAATAAAGCGAGATGAGCGCCGCAACCCCAGAATCGGCCACGACTGGACCTAATGGTCAGGGGTCCCTTTACCTTGAGGGGAGTGAAAGGTGGGCTACCAAGTCCAAACTCCTCTTCTTCTTCTGGAATGACTTTCTCTGCCTTCCCTCCCTGACAGCTGCATCCAGATCCGGCCACCTCCGTCTGCCAGGAGATGACCGAAAGGGCTTCCAAGGTAACCGGGTGGGGCGGGGGTGGCAGCTGAAGGGGGAGAGGTGGCTCCAGCCCCCCACCACTTCTGGCTTCTCTCCAAGGGCACCTCTGAGTCTCATTTTCTCCCCCCCCCCTCCAGAGTTTTGCGCTGCCCCCCCAGAGGTTGGGCGCTGCCGCGGAGCCTTCCCTCGTTGGCACTTTGACCTGGAGACCCGGACCTGCAAGATGTTCATCTTTGGCGGCTGCGGGGGCAACAAGAACAACTATGACTACGAGGAGCACTGTCTCCAGTGCGCCAGAGACGGAGGTAAGAAGGGGCAGGCTGGGTGCCCAGGCCAGACCCCCCCCAAGGGCTCGCATCCTTGCCCAGGGTGGAAGGGCAGAGTCCCCCCCTCCCCAAAATCCAAGGAGACTTGGAAACATTCCAGAGACTCCTCACTCCCTTCTCTTTAAAACTTTGATTGATTTGTTAGCCAAGGGGAAAAGGGCAAACTTAACTAAAAGAGAGAAAAGGGAACCGAAAATTTAAACCACGGAAGCATCACACAAGGGCCCAGATCCAGCCCTGCTCCAGAGTATGTTCCCTTAGCAAAGAGTAAAGATTTATAGAAATAACAGTGTTCTCCGCCTGGGAGTCTCATCCTAAAGGAGATTAGAGGTTCTCCACCGTCTCAGGTGAGCCAGGTGTTTGTCCTGGTGGCTCTGAATGCGCCTCCGTGTTTGTCGAAGGCGTATCTTGTCATGCCTTGTCACAGAGCAAGAAAACCGGTCGTTCAGGCTCTGCCCTCTCGGTCCTATTAGTTCCAGGAGGGCCATTTGCTAAAGCCTTGAATGTGGGCCGGCCGGTTTATTAAGACTCACGGTTTCCTGGATGTGGCAACGGGGCCCCCGGCTGCTGCTTCGAGGTGTTTTAGAAGTCAGCTCCTTCCTTCGCTTCTGCCCTCCAGAGACCTGCCAGGAAGGCCCCGATCCTGTCCTCACCAGGCCTCCATTTGGGCTGGGCTCTGAGGACTCACAACTCCCCGTGGCTTGGGGTGGTGGATTGAATTTATATGCCGCTCTGTACCCGGAGGGCTCAGGGCAGTTCACGGAAAAGATCACAATATATAAAATCAAAATAAGAACAGTAACCCAATAATACCCCCTCCAAAAGAGCCACATTTTAAAAGGATATAGGATGTCGATCAGGTCAGCCAAAGGCCTGGTTCAAAATGAACGTTTTTGCCAGGCACCTAAAGGTGTATAATGAAGGCGCCAGGCGAACTTCCCTGGGGAGAGCATTCCACAGCTGGGGAGCCACTGCAGAGAAGGCCCCGTTCTCGTGTTGCCACCCTCCGCATCTCTCAAGGAGGAGGCACACGAAGGAGGGCCTCAGAAAATGTTCTCAGGGTCTGGGTAGGTCCATATGGGAAGAGGCGGTCCTGGAAGTCTTGTGGTCCTGAGCCATTTAAGGCTTTAGAGGTCCAAACCAGCCCAGGACAGGGAGGCAGTGGGTGCTGCCCAGCCCCTCCTCACCCGCTGCCTTTTGTCCTGGAGGAGAGGGCTCTGCGGGGCTCCTGGGCACAAGGTCCCTGCTCTGCCCACAGCCAGAGGAAGGGATGCTCCTGAATGCTAGTCACTGGAAACCTCAGGAGGGGAGAGTGTTGCTCTGGTGCCTGGATCCTGCTTTGGGGTTCCCTGTTGGAGCACCCAGTGTTTCCCCCTTGGGCCTGATCCAGCCGCAGGGCTCCCCTTGCATTCTGACACGTCTCCCCACTTTTCAGAGTTAACGGAAGAGCCGTTGGAACCCAGGCAGCACAGCCACCTCTTCCCGGACCCCATGATCCACTCCACCAGAGGTAGGTGCCTGGAGGGGGGAGTTGTGGGGGGCAGGGGGGGTCGCAGCGCCAGGCCTCTGACTCTCCTGGAGGAGAGGCCAGGGGCTGCAGTGCTTGTCATTTAAACTCTACTCAAGATTGATCCAGAGCAGAACTCTGACATATAGTTAGCATATTAAAAACTTAAACACATTGCAAGATTCCAGAGGCAATTATATTTCAGCCAGCAGAGCTTTACTGCTACTGAAGGCAAAGGAGCGTAATGGTCACAAATCCAATACATTCAGGATTTGCCCTGTCCAATTGCAGCAGACTTAACTTAAACTTACCATAACTTGTAAGGGACACAGGTGGCGCTGTGGTCTAAACCACAGAGCCTAGGGCTTGCCGATCACAAGGTCTGCAGTTCAAATCCATGCAACAGAGTGATCTCCCGTTGCTCGGTCCCAGCTCCTGCCAACCTAGCAGTTTGAAAGCATGAAGTGCAAGTAGATAAATAGGTACCGCTCTGGCGGGAAGGTAAACGGCGTTTCCGTGCGCTGCTCTGGTTCTCCAGAAGCGGCTTAGTCCTGCTGGCCACATGACCCGGAAGCTGTCTGCAGACAAACACCGGCTCCCTCGGCCTATAGAGCGAGATGAGTGCCACAACCCCAGAGTCGGCCACGACTGGACCTAATGGTCAGGGGTCCCTTTACCTTTACCATAACTTATAATAAGACTAAACCTTAAGCACACTATGTACAGAACCCCAGAAGGAAAAGAGAAAGTGAAATCCAGGCTCCTTGTGGCCTTACCATTATGGTTTGCATGCCCTTGACTGAAAGAGATAACAGGACCCGTTTAAACCAGCTGTATTCCTTTTCTGAAGGAATAGCCCAAACACCAGGAACCTTCTGCTTGCTTCTTTCAAACAGAGAAGCTTCCTGAACCCTCTTGAATTCATGAGAATAGGAAAGACCTCGACACATCAATACTTTCTGTTCTAAGAAATGCAAAGGGACAGTGTTTGGGGGAGCCTCTGAAATCCAGAGGAGATTTGCCAGGGGGGCTGGCGAACCTTTTCCCTCAGGGGTCTGTTGCTTGGGGGCATCTGCTCCTAGGCCGCCCCCCCCCCAGCTGGCAGGTTTCCTGGCTCCGCCTCCAGCCTCTCCCTGGAGCTTCCCATTTGGGGAAGTGGCCTTAAGAGCGGCGCAGTCAGAAGGGCATCCCCAAAGGCAGAAATCGCCATGGAAGAGGCAACATCTCTTGGTTTCTCCTCCTGGGGGCCAAGAAGTCTCCGCTGCCACCAGTCATATATGTGTTCTCTGATCTCTTCAAATTCCTCGAGCTTTAATTTTCCTTCTGTTTCTGTTAATAGATCTCTTTATGTAGGCCATTTTCCTTCCCTATTTATTTGTTTTGTGGGGTTGCTTCTATTGGAGACAACCGCCCTGGGGTTTTTTGTTCTAATGAATCTTTATGTTTCCCCCTCATGCTTTGAAGAGTGATATCCTGATTATATGGTTATGAAATTCTTTGTGTATTTTCCCTTTGTTACACCACAAATAAGCATGTCCTTCCAGATCTAACAGATCTGCATTTTCTAACTTAATCCAATCTCGGATCCAGGTAACGCAGGCAGCTTCATAATAACTTCCCCTGACGCTTTAACCCTTTCCCCTCCGCAGCGGTGGTGCTGGCGGTGCTTCTGGCCCTGATGGCGGCTGCCCTGCTGGGCTCCATGGTGCTCTTCCTGGTCAAGATCTGCCGGAAGAACCCGCAGCTCAGCTTGGGGCCGGTCTGGAGCACCCTAGACGACAAGGAGTACCTGATGAGCAACGCCTACACCCTCTGAGCCCCAGGGGCAGGCGGGCTCCCTCTGGCCGGCTGGGGCTCCAGCTGCATGTAAATAATGGAGGCGAGGGGCTCTCCCCCTGCCCTACCCGCCCCCTCTCTGGGGCCAGCTTTGTAGAACACGTTTGGATCATAAATCTCTCCCAGGGAGGGGGCTCCTTTCTCGTGACGCTGGTTGTCTCTCCAAGTTTGCTCGCCCCTTCTCTTCTAAGCACAGCCGCCGGGAGCAGGAACACGGTCGGGGGGCGGGGGGGGCTCTATCTGGGACCCCACCTCCCCGGAAAGGTTGCTTGGAGCAGGGGGGAGGCCTGTGCCCCAAACATGGGAGGGAAGGGCACCTGGGCAAATGCAATAACCTAAGGTACACGGCCTGCCCCTCTCCCCCCATTTATCACAGCCGCCCTCCTCAATGCCAGTGCAAGTGGGGGGGGCAGCTCCCCACCCTTGGGATCCGCTGCTGTTCCCAGATTCCCGTGGGTCTGATCTGTGGGAGATGCACAACGCAGGCGGTGAAGCCCATTCGTTACAGCGGGTGGTGGTTTTTTTGGGGGGGCACAACGCTGGAGTCCCCGACTCTCTGAAGCTGTGACTCCTCACTGCAGGGTAGAGATATGAAGGTTGAGAGGGAGAAATTGGCCAGGCGGGGGCCCTCTTCTCCCCCCCCCCAGTGGTACGAAATTTTGCTTTGTAGGGCAGGGAGCGAAGCGTCTCCCACTGAATGTTCATACCCCTGCCCCAGTCTTCACAGCGCTGCCTCTGAGAGTTGGGGGGGGGGAGGTCAAAGTCTCTGTGGGGTCAGGAATGCCCTGCTTCTACCTGGGCGCAGTCTTTGCTGCAGGGAGCGGCCTGTGTTTTTGTGGACCTTGCCGTCTGTTTTATGGCCTCTTGCTGCGAGGGGGTGGGAAGGGACAGCGGCTGCTGTTTCTGCTTCCAGGGAGACTCCAGCCATTTCTCACACCCCAGACAGACCCCCCCTGGGTGTCCCTGAGCCCCACAAGCCAAGTTTGGCCACAGGTGCTCTGCCTGCCCGGAAGGGGGCTGGCCCTGGCCCTGCTCTCCGCAGAAAGACACCCCCCAGGCAGGCAGCATGACCCCCCCTTCAAGGCCCGCTTTGCTTTGGCCCCTTCCGCTCCTCCCTGAGCTGCTCCTGCCCTTGTCAAGGTTTCTGTTTTCCGTGTGTGTCCAACTCTGCTGGCTACGCCCTTTTGTTTTGGATCAGTTGAAGTGCGTTCTAGTTCCACGTTTGCCGGAGAGGCTTTTCCTCTCTCTCTGAGCTGCGGCTGCTGCCGCCTTCCCCTCTTTCCACCTGCAGCTTCCCCATCCCTCCCTCCTGGCCCCTTTCCTGGCCTTCACAGGTGTGCTTTCCAGGTGTCCCTGCCAGAGTCATTGCAGCAGGAGAAGCTTCAGGAGGGGGAAAAAATGGGAGGCAGGTTTTCAGTTTGGTCCAAGTCCTCCTCCTCTGTGGCCTTGAAATCACCTTGTGCTCCTGGAACTGGCTGCCCTGAACATGTCTGCATCTTCCTGATCTTTGGGGGACCATCAGGCTCCAGCTGCAGGGCTGGCCGGCGGGAGGAACAGGCAGGCCACTTACCTGAGAATTGTGGCTCCTGCCTGGGTCCTCCCTGGGAGCTGAGGCTGCTGGACCTCCTCCTCTGGAGAAAACGAGGAACCGACTCCCACTTATTCCCCCCTCCCCTTGATGGGCAACCAGGGCGCCTCCCTCCGAGCAAAATCCGACTTGTGTGTAGCATTCAGTGGGTTTTTATACTTTTTTAAAAAATTGAAACTTGATTGCGTCGAATCTTTTGGAATTGTTCTTTTAATTGCCTTTTTAAATCTGGAAGGTCTTTGAATAAAACAAATCAAACTCTTGCAGTGTTTGGAGTCATCTTGTGCTGGACAGCCGGGGGGGAGGTGTGTGTGCAGCTTTCGGGGGGGGACCCCTGGCTCTTGAGAGGGAAGGGAAGGGAGGGAGGCGGCAACCCCTGCACCCCACCTGGGGGAAAGCCTGAAAGCCTCGTCCCTCTCAGCATCTCCCCTAAGGACAAAGCCATTGGGAGCAGCTCCCTGGGTACCATTCCTGCTCCAGGCCTGTTCTGTGTGTTCACCTGGGGTGACTCCTGTTGTGGAGAGGGGAGTCTAGCCCAGTAGACCAGAAGGAGCATCTCCACTCCTATCGTTCAGCCCGGACACGGAGGTCCAGCTCCAAGGGCCTTCTGGCGGTTCCCTCCCTGCGGGAAGTGAGGTTACAGGGAATCAGGCAGAGGGCCTTCTCAGTGGTGGCACCCGCCCTGTGGAACACCCATCAGATGTCAATCAAACAGACAACTATCTGACTTTTAGAAGACATCTGAAGGCAGCCCTGTTTAGGGAAGCTTTTTAGGTTTTATGTATTTATCGTGTTTTTAATATTCTATTCCGAGCCGCCCAGAGTGGCTGAGGAAACCTGGCCAGATGGGCTGGGTATAAAATTATTTTTATTTATTTATTTATTGATTGCCGGGACAAGCCTCTCTGGCCTCTGTCACATTACTCTGTCCAAAGGAGGGACTTGTGAGAACTCTAGCCTTCCCCTGCCCCACACCCACCAAAAGCCCCACTTTCAGGGAAGGCCACAATTCTGCCACATCCAAATCCAAGCCTCACACTGCAGCTGGTGCAAGGGAACATTTCCTGCTTGGAACAGAAAAGTCCTGGCAGGCCCAGCCGCCTCCTGGCAGGTGCCCAGACCCACAGCTTAGGGGCGGTGTCTGTGTCTGTGTGTTGTGTGTGTGTGGTGTTTAGCAAGCAGAGGGATCAGCTATCTCCCTCTCTCCCCTGTATCAGAAAACACCCCCCAAAAGCAGCGCAGAGGGGAGAACAAAGAGGATTCCGCAGGCATGCTTTCCTCCTGTGTCATGAATTAACCCCCTCCTGCCTAAGGCTGGACCAAGCAGGAAGCAGCTGCTCTGCAAGTCAACCAGCTGGCCTGTTGCACCACTGGGGGGGGCAGCCCTTAAAGATACAGGCACCCCAACCCCCCCAATTAGCAGAGCACGGTAGCATGCAGGGCTGTAGCTGCCCCACTGCACGGAGTGAGACTGGTTTCTGCTGCCCAGAGGGCAGGACCCTAAGCAAAGGATTCACCTCACAAGGAAAGATACTGCCTCAAAACACAAGGAAGAACTTTCTGGTGGTAAGAGCTGCTGGACAGGGCAGTGGGCTCTCCTTCGGGGAGGGCTGAATGGCCCTATGCCAGGGGTTCTTTGTTCCTGGGGTTAGACTAGATGACCCTGGGGGTCTCTTCCAGTTCTCTAGTGCTGTCAGAGCATCCTAGTGTTATAGAAATTCTAAGGTCATATATATATATACAGTATATATATAAAATGTTCATAAATGTACAAGGTAAACCATGTGTCTGGAGTAGTACAGGAGAACAATCCTGACACCATTTTGACTCTCCCAAATGGACCTCAAATGTTTCTCTGCAAGGAGGAAGGAAATGGGGAAAACCTCCCCATTGTCTCTTTGCTCAGAAATCCTGTCTTAAGGGCCTATCTGTGTATGAATAGGGTGAGGAGCCTGTGACCTGGATTCCGGAACTGAGTATTTACCATCACAAAAGAATGGCCAGGATGCCCAGGTAAAAGCCATCAGTGACCATTATCAGGTATCCTGGCAGACAGGTTTTCTGCTGCAGACCGCCTCCTTCTGTGATGTATGTATGATGTTTTGCAGGGTGGTCTTGAGCTAAGGTAAAGGTACCCCTGCCCGTACGGGCCAGTCTTGACAGACTCTAGGGTTGTGCGCCCATCTCACTCTATAGGCCGTGGGCCAGCGCTGTCCGGAGACACTTCCGGGTCACGTGGCCAGCGTGACATCGCTGCTCTGGCGAGCCAGAGCCGCACACGGAAACGCCGTTTACCTTCCCGCTTGTAAGCGGTCCCTATTTATCTACTTGCACCCGGGAGTGCTTTCGAACTGCTAGGTTGGCAGGCGCTGGGACCGAACGATGGGAGCGCACCCCGCCGCGGGGATTCGAACCGCCGACCGTTCGATCGGCAAGCCCTAGGCGCTGAGGCTTTTACCCACAGCGCCACCCGCGTCCCGTTCTTGAGCTACAGGGGAGGCAATTTTCAAATGTCTATATAAGGCCTTGCACACCAATCTCCAATCCCCGTGACGGGGTGAGCTCCCGTTGCTCGGTCCCTGCTCCTGCCAACCTAGCAGTTTGAAAGCACATCAAAGTGCAGGTAGATAAATAGGTACCGCTCCGGCGGGAAGGTAAACAGCATTTCCGTGTGCTGCTCTGGTTCGCCAGAAGCGGCTCCGTCGGCCAATAAAGCGAGATGAGCGCTGCAACCCCAGAGTGGGGTCCCTTGACCTTTTTTACACCAATGTTCTGGGTTCCTGTCCTCCCTCTTGCGTGTGGGGAGTGAGGACCCTGTTGCAACAGTTCAATAAAGATCAGGCTTACGAGCTGCTTCGCTTCTCAATATACTCTATCTGCCCTCTCTTATTTTCTCCTACCGATAGAGAACCTACATAAGGACTCTAGGGGCTCTTGTGTCCCCCCATAAGGGAAAAAGGAGGTGGTTTTTCCTGCTAACACTGTCTAAGCTCAGGACCCCTGGCCAGGCGGGCAGGGGGTGTGCGCGCCCTAGGCCCCCCAAGCTCCGGCCTCCGGAGACCCCCCCCTCCCCGTCTCTGGGCCACTTGGGTGCTTCTGCGCCCGGAGGAGCCCCTGGCGCCCCCCGACGGGGCGGACGCAGCTCCGCCCGCCCAGGATGACGCTCCGGGGCGGCTCCCTCCCGATCCAGCGCGCCGGATCCCTCCTCTCCGGGCGGCGCCTGGCCTCGCCTCTCTGCGGAAGCGCCCCGCCGTACCTGGCGCGATGGACTTCGACCTGGCGGCAGGTGAGTCGGGGCGCGCCTGGCCAGGCGGCTGGGTTCTCCCCCTTTTTTGTCGGGGGACGGGGTGTCCCCAAGGCCAGGACGCCTGGGTCCCCTCCAGGTGAGGCCCCCTGTCACGCCTCTTTCCCTCTCTCATCCGCCTGCAGCGCTGGGGCCCGATCCCCCGAAGCCCGACCCCGTGGCGGAGATGAAGCCGGGCCCGCGCAGCGGCGGCGCGCCTGCCCAGCCGTCGGGGGCGCCTCCTGCGGCGGAGGACGCAGCAAAGAGCCTCGCGGTGAGTTGGGGGGTCCCTCCTCTCCCCTTCCCCGCTTCCAGGGCCCGCGGTCTCGCTGGAGCAACTGGCGGAGACTCCCCCCCCCCAGCAACGGGACCCCCCTCTCACTCCCGCTTCCCCCTTGCAGGAAGGCGGGCCCCGATCCGCATCCGACTCCAGCAGCAGCTCCTCCTCCTCCAGCGACAGCGACCAGGAGCGCAAGGCAAGAGGCGGGCAGAGGGACCCCCGTCCAGGAGAAAGAGGCCTGACCCCCCCTCCTCTCGCAGACCTTGGTTGCCTTTGCCCCCCCCCCTTCCCAGGAGCCCAGAAGTGCAGCTGGAGACCAGACTGGGAGAGGGGCTCCAGCCCTGCACCTCCCATCATGGCCACCTGGCTGGCCTTCTAAGGAGGGGGGTGGTATGGACTAGGTGGCCATGGGCCTCTTCCTGACTTCCAACCCAGGTTAAGATGCGCCTCTTTGGCCAGGTTTTGAGTGTTTGTGAGGGTCGGGCTTCCTGCCACTTCTGTGTGCCTTTGGGCGTGGAGACGCTTGGCTGCAAGTCATTCTGTCCTTGGTGACAAGCAATAGCTTCCTCCGTGTCAGGACTGTGGGCAACGCTTGGCTCCACCCCCCAAGCGGGGTGCTTTGACCCCTTCCCAAAGCAGGGCAAGAGATTCCTGCCGCCAGGGCCCCTTCCAATTCTACCATTCTAGGGCTCCACTCTCTGGGCAATGTAAAAACCTCCTGCGTGGATGCCAACTGACCTTTGACAGTTGGTGGTGGCCGAGTCTCCACAGGCTCTCTTCTCTTCCGTGTCCCCCTCCCCATTTCCTGGCCAGCCCTATCCATTCCCCCCCCCCCCACTGCACCAGGCCTGGGAGGAGACACAGCCTCCCTCGACACACCCGGCCCTGGATTGAGGGCTGGCTCCTGGTCGAAGGGCAAACTTCCTTGCCTGCTGCTGCAGCGGGTGGGAAATGTAAGTTCTTCTGCCCCCCCCCCCCGCAGGACCCTGGCACCAGCCGCCAGAAGAAGCTGAAGAAGCCCAAGAAAGAAAAGAAGCCCCAGAAGGAGAAGAAGGAAGAGAAGCGCCACTGAGCCTGCGCACCCCAGGGCCCCTCGCTGCACACCTGCCTAAGCCCCACCGGAGCCCAGCACACGCTGCTCCTCCCAGTCCTTTGGCTCAGGACTAACGAGAAAGGCGTTGCTTTCAGACTGTCAAGCGTGTTATGCTCCTTGGTGACAGTTCAGCAGGGGAAGGGCTTTGCCTTTTGAAGGTTGGAGCATCAGGGGCTGGAAGGCAGGCCTTGCCTTGTGTGCGGATGGGCTTTGCTTTCTTCTGCCAGCAGCAAGAGCACCAACTTGGGGTGGCTTTCAGAGACTGGACCAATTCACAGAGGAGGAGGAGGAGGAGGAGGAGGAGGGCCATCGAGGGCTCCTGGCCACAGAGGCAGTCAATGCTTCTGAATGGCAGGCGCTGGAAACCGCAGGAAGGGAGAAGGCTCTTGGGCTCACATCCTGCTTGCTGGCTTCTCAAAAGAGGCACCGGAGAACAGGATGCTGGACTCAGGTGGACCCCCTCTGGTCTGATCCAGCGGGCTCGGCTTATGTTTTTTCCTGCTTTTTGCACTATTGGGACAAATAAAGGGAGCTGTCTTTTCTGTTGCACTGGAATGTCTATGGAAGAAAATGGAAGGTGAAACTTCAGCGGAGCAAAAGAATTAAGTCCTTTTGGAGGCAAGGAGCTATGAGGGTGTGTTAGTTTGCGGACCTGGAACGCATCCATCCGGGCCCCAGGAGAGGCGTGAGACTGGAGGGGGCCACAGGGGGGCAAATCCCGTGGATGTTGCTCTGAGCAGATTCAGCCTCGCCTTCTCTCCATGCCAGAGAGGAACCACAATTCAGCCCCAGGCCCCACTGGTGGACCAGGGAGTGTGGCAGGGGGTGAGGAGTTAGTTACAAGGAAGAGGGCGGAAAGGACTGCCGTTCTTCTGCGAGGGCCAAGCCCTAGTGCTGCGCCCCCCAACCTCTCCTCCCCGCTTTGCCCCCAGTAAGCAGTGGCACGGTGTTGCAGGCTGAGCGAGCGACGTGAGCTGCATGCTCTGCCGAGAGGAACCACCGCAGCCTGCAAGAGCCTTCTTGCTCCAGAAAGCAAGCCCCACTTTCTCTCCCCCCCCCACCACACAGCAGAGAGCGACCCCCAGTGCAGGTTTCATTCTTTATTGGGCTGGTGTTGTGTGTACAGCACCAAAGGCTGTGAAGTTGAACAGAGAAGCAAGCAGCTTGTGGGCTGGGGGGGGCAGCTGCTCCATGACCCCCCCCGGCAGCCTCCCCCTGCCCCCCGTAGTAATACTGAGTTGCTCGCAAGCAGCAAAACCTGGCGCACGGGTGGAGAACGCCATGCGCTCTCCAGTGGTGTGCAGTGATCACAAGGGCTCTGGCATGCAAAGGGGGGGTGGGAAAAGGATGCGGCCCCCCAAGCAGAGGGAACTGAGCGGAGCCTCCCCCCCCATCTACAAACAGGCTCCTGCTGCCCACCCACCCCTGACAACATCCACCCACCCCGAGGTCACTAAAGCCAGAGCCACAGTGGTCTGTGTCCAGCCTGCCACACAGACCCCCCACCAGGAGTGAGGACCCCTGCCCTGCCCCCTTGGCAGACCCGTCCGTCAGTAGATGAGGTGGAAGGTGAGCCAGTACATGATGAGCGGCTGCAGGCCGGCCACAGCCATGGTCAGGTACATGCGCAGCTGGTTCTTGGCTCCCCGCACCAGCACCCCCTCGGCCGCTGCCTCCGACAGGATCTTCAGGCGCAGGGTCCTGATCTGGAAAAGACAGAGGAAAGGGCGAATCAGGGGCAGAGCGCAGGGAGGGACACGGAGGCCCGGCCTGCCTGGGGCTTCGCCAAGCAGGAGGGAGGGTTCTTGCAACGGGCGCCGTTTTATTTAAAGGCCATCTGCACTCTGCTTTTTCACCTCGGAGGGGTTTGCAGTAATAAAGCCATGCAATAAAACCCACCAAAAAAGTTACAAACTGACAGAATTTTGTTATTCTGGAAGGAAGTATTCTTAGTTGCTGGCATACGACTGGCGGAACAGAAAAGGTTTCTGCGGGTGTTTTAAAAGCTGGCACAGAAAGTGCCTCTTGCCTCTCCAGTGGTAGAGCGTTTCACAGGACCAGGCGCTAAAGGCCCAGTTCCTTGTTGTCAAGTGAGGATCTCCTACTTGGGGAATGGCCAGCGACACTCCTGCAGGTGATCTCAGTGACTGAGCTGGGACCAAAGGCTTCCGGGCTCTGCTCAGTGTGTGGCAGAACCAGCCTCCCTGCCCTAAATCCATCAAGCAAGCTGGTGAAAGGCTGCTGTTACTGGAGGCCAGCGCAGAGCCTGAGACCAGGCCTGCTCCTGCTGTGCAAAATGCTCAAGAAGCGCAGAAGAATTTGGGAAACGACCCCCCCCCCCACCACACACTTCCTGGAAGCTCTTACCATGAAGACAAAGATTGTGACGCAGCACCAGCTCAGCAGCAGGTAATAACCCGTCTTCCCAAAGAGCAGCCCAGCCAGGAGGCCGACAATCATCCTGTCACAGGAGGGGAGAAGCGTCAGGCCCAGAGCCCGGCTCTTCCCCAGCCCAGGATGAACGAATGAATAAATAATAATAATAATAATAATAATAATAATACCCCACCCATCTGGCTGAGCCTCCCCAGCCACTCTGGGCGGCTTCCAACAGGATATCAAGAACAATAAAACACCAAACATTAAGAGGGGCTCAGTCTCGCCCCCCCCCCGGCTGGATCAGGCTGCCCTCGCCTCCTGGTTACTCACCCAACGTACTTGTACCCTGAGAAGGCCACCAGGTCAATGGTGGAGAGGTCCGTGTTGACGGTGACCAGGTAGAGGCTGAGGAGAATGGCCAGCACCTCGACAATGAGCCAGGCCAGGGCTGAGCTCGCCTGCAAGCCCAGCAGGTCGGGGGAGAATCTGCAAGGGGCGGGTGAGGGAGAGTATTGAGCGGGGGGGGGGGGGGGCTCCCTGGCCACCCAAAACTGCCCAGGCCTCCGGGGCCACAGGAGGGCGCTCACAGGCCAATACCCTCTCACGCCTCTTCCGTGATTCCAACTAAACTTTCGGAAAATATTCTTGACAGTAGGAGCCTGTCCACAGCGGAACAGATTCCTTCAGAAGGTGGCAGGCTCTCCTTCCTTAGAGGTTTTTAAGCAGAGGTTGGGGGGGCCACCTGTCAGGGACTCTGTGATTCCTGGACTAGATAGAGGACTATTCTAAGGGAGCTGTTAGGAGACCCCTTATCCCCTCCCAGAGCTACGGGGTTCCTAACAACTCTCTTTTCAGATATTTATATATACATATATATATACATATACATATATATATTATTGGTTTTTTCCACACAACAACACGAAAAATATCAAAAAAACCAACAAAACAATACACAAAACATAAAAACCAACATTCAAAACCCAAATCCATATCTTACAAGTTAATAATATAACCACTAAAAAGAAAAACAAACATTGACAACACTCAGCATGCTTCACAAGCTACACATCCTGGGATTTTTTACAGGATGCCATGCCTGTTTGGGTTGAGCTGGCGAGGAAACGAGGATGGGGTGCAGGTCTTCCTGGGAAGCTCAGCTGCCCTGCCCCGCCTTCCCTAGGAATGCCAGCAGAAAGGTGATCCCTAAAACCTCTCACCTGTTCTGGGTCCCCAGCGCCAGCCCTGCCACCAGGATGTAGGTGATGAACGCCATGACTGCGGAGGGAAAGGGCTCCTTAGCCATGGGAGAGACCGGCGCTCAGCCCTGTCACCATTTCCCTCCCCAGGGGCATCTCCCCCCCCAGCCACCTCAGGGCTGGTGCCACCCCAGGGACCCCCAGAGACCTGCCGTACCTGGAATGTAGAGGTCGGGAGCGTTGACGTCAAAGCGGGGGGCCACGGGGGTGTCCTGCTGGTACTGCACCTGCCAGTCCTGCCAAAGACAGCCAAGAACCCCCACAGGCTACCAACGGGCTCCCTGCCCCCAAGGGACCAGGGTGGGCAAAGGGGCCGGGGTGGCACAGGGAAAGGCGCCCTGGCCATAGCAGGGGGCAGCTGGGAGCAGGCCGATGCCCCACAGTTCCCAGCAGCTCCCCATCCCACCTTAGCCGGGGCCCTTTGCAGCTCACCTGGTGCAGGAAGGGGAAGAGGAGCAGCCCCAGCTTCCTGCCCACATAGACGGTGTCCACAGCAAAGTAGTACTTCAGCTTGGTCACGGGGACAAAGCGGTCAATCTGGGAGGGCGGCAGAAGCAGAGTGTGAGTAGAGACGAAAGAGGAGCTGCTGATGGAGCGTCTCCAGCCCCATCGTTCTGAGGTCCAGCGCTGAGGGCCTTCTGGCGGTTCCTTCGCTTTGAGAAGCCAACTTACAGGGAACCAGGCAGAGGGCCTTCTCGGTGGTGGCGCCCGCCCTGTGGAACGCCCTCCCACCAGGTGTCAAAGAGAAACAACTACCACCAGACTTTTAGAAGACATCTGAAGGCAGCCCTGTTTATGGAAGCTTTTAATGTTTAATAGGTTATTGTATTTTAGTGTTTTGTTGGAAGCCGCCCAGAGTGGCTGGGGAAACCCAGCCAGATGGGCGGGGTATGAATAATAAATTATTATTATTATTATTATTATTACTTTAAGTGTCTCAAGGGGATTTCCTTTGCTGTATATCACTGCCTCTCTCTGCCCAGCCTACCTCGCAGGGTTGTGGCGAGGACTTAAGTGAGGAGGCCGGGAGAACCACAGTTGCCCCCCTGCGCTCCTCAGAGTAAATGCCATGCAATCAATAATATGGATGCATTGAATTGGGATTCCTGCCTGGCAGGGGGCTGGACTAGATGGCCCCCGGGGGTCCCTTCCAACTGTATAATTCTTGGGTTTTTAGAAAAGGGGCCAAGCTTATTTCCTGCCACTTCAGAGGGGGGGGACCTGAACCCGTTATGATCTGGGGTTATTTATGGGAGCAGGGCCAGATTGAGGTTTGATGTGGCCCTCAGCTCCTGAAGGCAATGGGGCCCTTTCTATGTCCAGCTGTCCTTAAAGGTAAAGGTACCCCTGCCCGTACGGGCCAGTCTTGACAGACTCTGGGGTTGTGCGTCCATCTCACTTAAGAGGCCGGGGGCCAGCGCTGTCCGGAGACACTTCCGGGTCACGTGGCCAGCGTGACAAAGCTGCATCTGGCGAGCCAGCGCAGCACACGGAAACGCCGTTTACCTTCCTGCTATAAAGCGGTCCCTATTTATCTACTTGCATCCGAAGGTGCTTTCGAACTGCTAGGTTGGCAGGCGCTGGGACCGAACGACGGGAGCGCACCCCGCCGCGGGGATTCGAACCGCCAACCTTTCGATCGGCAAGTCCTAGGCGCTGAGGCTTTTACCCACAGCGCCACCCGCGTCCCTCCAGCTGTCCTTGGTCAACAACAAATTGCTGCTTTTTGTGTTGAATATGTCCTAGATGGTCATTGATGGACCTCATAGGTATCTCAAGCCATTTGCACATCACAAATAGGAGCCTACACAACACTGTTGCTGCAGTATGCAGGTTTTGTCTTATTTGTTTTTTCTCTTATATTTTGGAAGTGTAGGTTTTTTCCCTTTAGGGGCCCTAAGCTTTAGGTTGTTTAGCTTATACTGTACGCAAGCCCTCCGTTATGGGAGGGTCTTCAGGCGAGCTCCGGGGGGCTGGACTAGAGGACCCCTGGGGGTCCCTTCCCCGTCCCGGCTCGCTCCCTGCCGCTGGGCTTCTGAGCGGGCGCTCTGCTCCGGCCCCGGAGCCCCCCCACTCACGTTCCTGCCCACGATCTCCTTGCCCTGGCTGGCCAGGCTGCTCCCGTAGGCGGCGGCGAAGCTGGAGACGGGCTGGGCCAGGAAGGCGGCGCCGGCGCTGGTGTCCTCGAAGAGCCGCGTGGGGTCGGGCCGGAGGGCCGGGCTGGGGGCCGAGGGGCCGGGCTGGGGCGGCGAGGGGCCGGGCGGGCGGCGCTTGGTGGCTGCGGGGGGGGGAGAGAGAGAGGGGCGTCAGGGGGGGGGCGGCGGGGGTCCACCTGGCGGGGGGTCCCCCCTCCCTCCCTCCCTCCCACGTGACACCCACGCAGGCGGCCGGGCGGGGCTCCTCCCGGCTCCATGTCGGCGAGGGAAGGAAGAGAAGGCGGGCCGCGCGGCGCAGGCGCACTCCCAGGCCGGCCCGCGGCCAATCAGCGTGCCCCGCCGCCGCCGCCGGCAAGAGCCAATCGCGGGACGCGTCGCCGAGCGACGGAACCGCGGGAGGGAGGGAGGGAGGGAGGAGAGCGCGCCGTTGCCATGGGGACGAGAGGAAGAGCCAGCGGCTCACATGACCCGGAAAAAAGCCGTTTCCGTGAGGGGGAAGCGCATGCGCGGGGGGAAAAGGCGCGGAAAGAGGGGCTGGCGATCCCAGCAGCCTTTGCGTCTTCCATCCCAGAAGCCTTTGCTGCGACTTCGGAGTCCTGAGGGGAGTTGGAGGGATGGAGGCTCCGCCGCGGCAGACAAGGCCCTGCGCGGGGCCAGGACCCGCCTGGCTGGAGCCCGGCAGCAGCGGGAGAAGGAAGGCCCCAGGAGGGCCAGAGCATCCCCCGGCCCGGAAGGCCCCCGGCCCGCTTCAGCCCAGGGGGAGCTCCAGGCCAGCCCCAGGCGCCTGAAGGGCTTCAAGGGCCACGTCAGGCCGAAGAACGTGCTGTTAAGGGGGAAATCCCGGGGGGGGGGGAGAACCCGCTCCAGAGCTCCGCCCGTCAGGGTGCGAGTCCCCCGAGGGTCCATGAGGCCAGGAAAAGAAGGAAGTTCCAGCCGAGTAATAGGGAGCAAAAGGGCAGTCAGTAGACCATGGTTTTTATTATTGCACAACAGGTCTCCCCAGGAGTAAGAACCCCGAGCATGGAGTGACCTCCTCTTTTAAACCTTCCCTCTTTCCCCCAGAATACAGTTCGAGGGGCATCATCACTACATCACTAGCATGTCACAAATGGGGAGGGGTACACAAGGGTTAGGGACGCGGGTGGCGCTGTGGTCTAAACCACTGAGCCTCTTGGGCTTGCCGATCAGAAGGTCAGCGGTTCGAATCCCCGCAATGACGGGGTGAGCTGCCGTTGCTCGGTCCCTGCTCCTGCCAACCTAGCAGTTCGAGAGCACCTCAAAGTGCAAGTAGATAAATAGGTACCGCTTTGGCGGGAAGGTAAACAGCATTTCTGTGCGCTGCCCTGGTTCCCCAGAAGCGGCTTAGTCATGCTGGCCACATGACCCGGAAGCTGTATGCCGGCTCCCTCGGCCAGTAAAGCGAGATGAGCACCGCAACCCCAGAGTTGTCCGTGACTGGACTTAACAGTCAGTGGTCCTTTACCTTTTTACACAAGGGTTACACAAGTTCAACATTAGGTTACTTTATCAGACCCCTTTCCCAACACCTCTTAAGTCCCCATCACAGAAGTAACAATGAAACTCTTGACATCTCCTTGCCCTCAGGACTTGTCTGGAGATGGGCTTTCAGAACACCTGACTTGCTCAACTGCCTCTGTGGATGTCTAGTGTTACCCCCTTGGTCACTCCCTGGGTGGGGGGCCCTGTATGTGCTTTCACGCTTGGGGAATTATGGCGGGATGCTGTGCTCCTGCTGCCCATGTGACTTCCTGCTTCTTGGTTCATGGAGGGAGGTGGAGCCCAAATTCACCTTTCAGGGTTCACATGGCATTGGAATGGAGGAAATTGGCAAAGGGGCTGATTTTATATGATTTATAAAGCTAGTTGGAGGTGGTAAAAAATGAGATGGCAAGAATAAATATTGACATCCTGGGCATCAGTGAACTAAAATGGACGGGAATGGGCGAATTCAGTTCGGATGACCATCACATCTACTACTGTGGGCAAGAAACCCGTAAAAGAAATGGAGTGGCCCTCATAGTCAACAAGAGAGTGGCGAAACCTGTACTGGGATGCAATCTCAAAAATGATAGAATGATCTCGATACGAATCCAAGGCAGACCTTTTAACATCACAGTAATCCAAGTTTATGCACCAACTACTGGTGCTGAAGAAACTGAAATTGACCAATTCTATGAAGACTTACAACACCTTATAGAAGTGACACCAAAGAAGGATGTTCTTCTCATTATAGGGGATTGGAATGCTAAAGTAGGGAGTCAAGAGATAAAAGGAACAACTGGCAAGTTTGGCCTTGGAGATCAAAACGAAGCAGGGCAAAGGCTAATAGAGTTCTGTCAAGAAAACAAGCTGGTCATCACAAACACGCTTTTCCAACAACACAAGAGACGACTCTACACATGGACATCACCAGATGGGCAGCATCGAAATCAGATTGATTATATTCTCTGCAGCCAAAGATGGAGAAGCTCTATACAGTCAGCAAAAACAAGACCTGGAGCTGACTGTGGCTCAGATCATCAGCTTCTTATAGCAAAATTCAAGCTTAAACTGAAGAAAGTAGGAAAAACCACTGGGCCGGTAAGATACAATCTAAACCAAATCCCTTATGAATACACAGTGGAAGTGAGGAACAGGTTTAAGGATTTAGATTTGGTGGACAGAGTGCCTGAAGAACTATGGATGGAGGCTCTTAACATTGTACAGGAGGCAGCAACGAAAACCATCCCAATGAAAAGGAAATGCAAGAAAGCAAAGTGGCTGTCCAACGAGGCCTTACAAATAGCGGAGGAGAGAAGGCAAGCAAAATGCGAGGGAGATAGTGAAAGATACAGGAGATTGAATGCAGATTTCCAAAGAATAGCAAGGAGAGACAAGAAGGCCTTCTTAAACGAGCAATGCAAAGAAATAGAGGAAAACAACAGAATGGGAAGAACCAGAGATCTGTCAAGAAAATTGGAGATATGAAAGTGATACGGAAGGAACAAGGGGGGGGTACCCATCCTTCCCCACCGCTCCCTGAAGGGGTCCGAGGCGATGGCCCCTGCAGTGCCCAGCCGGCCTCGAACCCTCAGCCCCGCACCATTGCATAGGCACCACACTGTACCCCTGCCTTGTAAATAAAAGGCTCTCTTTCCTGTCTTCACGCGGGCGGAATAAGCCCCATCTTTCCTATGCCTTTCTCTCGCCCTATTCCTAACGTGAGTCGACCGTATCATATTGTATCCCCCATTCATAAAACGAGCCACGCTTTAGCCAATCACAGCCGTGCATTCGTCCTGCAGGAGCTAGCTCGGGGAGCTCTTGCACGCCTCATTTAACCTCCTGACAAGCTACTGACGGCCCCCCGCTGCGAGAACAATGGAACCGAAACCCCGGACCTCGTAAAACTGTCAAATTCTGGATACAATGTGTCCATTTTGTTTCCACTTTGATCACCAATACGGAATAGGTCAGAAAGCATAGAAAACCTTTGGAAATTGATATAAAATCAACCATAACTCCGATTTCCTAGCTCTTGGTGTCGTTCAACTCAGCTCCCTTTGGACTCCATGATGCCACCCCGACTTCCATGATCCCTGAAGCGGCAGGGCACGTACACAGGAACTTCCTAATCCTGTCAGATCGTTTCGCCTAACCCTTCCTCCGGGCAATACCAGGTGGCAGACGATGCATATCTCTGGCCCTTTGTCTTGCCACCACCGGTACTTGATAAATGTTTATCTATGTGTATCTCTCGCTCTAGATATTTCCCCCTCCCCTATCTCAAATGTTAATTAGTGTAACCCCACCTTTCTCTGAGATATTCATGACGTGTGTAATATATTCATGATGTAATCCATGAAACCCAACCTTCCCATAATGTATTCATGACACTGTATTCTGGGACTTGGAGGGAACTTTTAAAAGTTTATGTCGCCCCATTCTCGGGGTTCAATCTTGTCTTGAACCTGTTGCGCAATAAACTTGGATCTCCTGCAGTTTGCTCCTGTCCGGCTGAGCTCATTTTCTTCCGCAGGGACCCGCGGACTTACTTAGTCCGACGAGCTGGGTGACAGAATAGCCCTGCACCCAGATTTTTCAGTAACAGTATGGCGCCCGAACAGGGACTTGCGGTTCTCCCGGGCTGCTGACTGGGGGCCCCAAAATCTTCAGCCGGCTCCGGGCCATTTTGCCTGGGAAGATCCTTTTCGACCCCCAGCCATCTCCCGGGCGGTAATCGAAAGCCCTAGGAGTTCAGTCGGGGAGCAAAGAGGGATCCAGCCGGCTTATTCATCGATCCCGGGATCATCATAGAAGACGCGTGAGTATAAGGAAAAGGAAAAAATCCAGTGCACTGGTGGGAAGGGGGTGGAAGTCTCCTGGCAACTGAATTCTCTGCCCTCCTCTCTATCGCTCCTTCTCGCCTGTCTCTTGGTCCAAGTGGTGAGAGAGACCATGGACCGCTGCTCAACCCGAAAGGGGGGTTCTGAGCTCTATCTCTTTCTCTAACACCCTCCAGCCAGCCGCACCAATTGGGAGCCCGAAAGTAAGACGGAGAGACCCGGCTTGAAAAGACAGCCGACTCTCCGCAACGGACATCTCAGTTGAAAGCAAGGGGTTGGAGTTCTTCTTCCGAACTTCCCGAGCGCCCTTACGGAGGGGGCAGGAAGTGGTCTTGCTTTCTATCCCAATCCCAGCCGCACTGGTCGGAGCCACGTAACACGTGTATCGTGCGTGAGCCCGCTTCCAAAAGCAAGGGGGATTTTCAGTTCGAAGTTCTATCCAGGGATCACCCGATCTGGCACCGCACAGCACGGGCGTCCAGTAGGGCCCCTTTTTTCCTGAGATTTTGACGATAGATAGGAGGTTGCCAGGAGGGATAGCCCATGAGGAATTGGGCGGGATCGGCAGAGTGGAAAGGACCCCAGGTTATTGACTAAGGAAATAGGAAAAGGAACACAAGGAACCGGATAGCTAGAACTCTCTAAAAAACCCACTAAGGAAGTTGCCAAGCAACTAGAGGCCCCTTCTCTTTCTTTACTATATATCCCTGCACTACAAGTTACCCAAATCCTAATCAACCCTTCTCGTTCCCCCTTAGGATAAAACAAACAAACAAACAAACAAAAAAAGCAACAACAGCAAAGCATGCATATATAAAGGGGTACCCCGTCAACCAAGCGTTGTGAGCCCTGCCAGTTTGATTAACTGGTGGTGTGTTTCAAGAGGCAAGGAGTTTCGTAAAACCATGTGGGACCTTCCTACTAAT